GGCAATAATAGGGCTAGCACTGTCCTACAGAGCTTTATCAATGCCGTTCAGCAGTATGGGCTGCCGTCAAGGGTACGGTCTGATAAAGGAAGAGAGAATTCAGACGTAGCAGAATTCACGATCAGGAGCAGAGGTACCAACAGGAACTCTCACATCACAGGCAGAAGTGTACACAATCAGCGGTAGGTACAATATCTGTTTGGCGACTACTCAGTGGTGGACAAAGTACTCAACTCCAGTACTTGAGTCGAAGTATTGATACTCGTGGTCAAATCTTACTCAGCTACAAGTAAAGGTTGCTCGGTCAAGATTTTAGTCAAGTTAAAGTACTAAAGTACTTACTTTTAAAAATACTTGAGTATTCAAAAGCACAAAGTACATTTTCTAATATCAGTGCATTGCTGTATTGTTTTCTCAGTGCTTATACAGAACCTTACTCTTATACCTAACTCTCTGAAACCACCTAATGATGTATTGACTTACAAGTCTATAGAAACACCTGTAAAAACTTCAGCGTAAAAATGCAATCAAAAACAATAGGGACAGCTATTGTCATTTAATTGTTTTTATTTAAACATCCCCACCCAAAAAAAACAGGAGGGCCTTTTTTTTATCCCCGCACATTCACTGTGGGGGGGTTGCAAGTTTACTGTTCAGTCCATTACCGCGAACAAACTACAACTCTGCTTTCAAGAACTCATCATCCAGTTGAACCACTTGGCTACATGGCAACATAACCCTTGCCTTAATAAAATCTGTAAACCGCCCCGGAATTTTCCATGTCTGTGGAAAGTGACGGAAATCCCTAAAAGATGGTGCACATTTAGTTTCTTTCCTCAGCTTCTTCTGCCATCTCCATTGCCGAGTTTTGTTTGAATGAAGGCGGGAGAGCTTGCTACACTGAGCGTTGATGATGTATTTCCAAATCCATCCCATGTGTGAGCGGTGACTGTGATTGGTTCCCTTCTATGAGGAGCACAGCATGAGGCCAATTGCATTTTAGAAAAGAAAAACACCAACAGCTGACTACAAAGCTATGTTGAGCCTAAAAGGAACCAGTAACGACAAGCTTCCTAGATATGTAGTGGAGTCGAAAGCACAATATTTGTCTTGTAGTGGAGTGAAAGTCATAAGTTTCCAAAAAAACAAATACTCAAGTAAATGTACTCCGTTACTGTCCACCACTGCTTGTACAAACCATAGCAGCTCAATGTATTTTAAAGCTTGAGATTAAACATTAATTAACAATTTGTCAATTGCATTCTAATTGCAGAATAGAGAGGATGTGGAGAGATGTTTATGAGCATGCCCTAGACCTCTTCTATCAGATCTTCACTTCATTGGAAGATCAGGGAACACTCAATCCAGACAATGAAGTCCATCTTTATGCCCTGCACCGAATCTTCCTTCCCCAAATTCAGAGAACCCTCAGCTCCTTCAGAGATGCTTGGAACTTTCATGGACTTAGAACTGAAAGGAATCAATCACCTAATGAACTCTAGAGAAGATACAGAGAGCAAGGCCCCATGGAGGATCCTGTAGAGGTTAAAAAAAAGATTGTAGTTTTACACTATTATTGAGACCTTTTGAAAAATATATTAATATTTTGTAGGTCAGGAGATACAGGTGTTTGTCACTGATGTTTCATTAAAGTATCACCTTTAGCGGACTTATTTTTCCTCAAATTTCTAAGAAGAAACATTTCAGACAGATGATAATTGGACCCACTATATTTTAATAAAAGGGTTTCTGTTATCACTTCGTTCTTGTTTTTGAACGAAACATGAGAGAATCTCTTCTGTCTCCTGAGCTCTGACAGAACAACATCTGAGCAGCAAAGTCTCTTATGGTGCCTAAAACTTAATTTGTCACCAACGTAAGGACCAATGATCAATCCCATGAATCTTGTGTGATGACATGTCATAGTAGTTTAAACAATATGTCAATCAATGTTATCTTCTGTTCAGGTTTATGAAGACTATGGGATCGACTGGAATGGGCCTCACAATCAGCATGGAGACACTGTGTCAGTTCCTGAGATTCAGATGGCCCGTGAGCTCTCAGATGAAGAGGTTGCCATTTTGCCAGTTTCAGGAGTTTCTTAAAATGATGCAATTGGATCATATTTGGAGACAGTGCAAGTTTTGTCAAGAATCATTGGAGACTGATATTTTAACCAAGCCTTTTATTTTATTTATTTAGCATGTGCAAATGTGACTCATGAATTAGTTAACTTGATTTGTCAATAAAAATCTGAAATAATAATATAAATTTTAATGCAAATAAAACCAATTTTTCTAGCATTAAGAGATATTTCAACAACCTCATGTAGCCAATGACAACAGGCAAGGACAGCAAGGTGATGCACATTGAAGTATCAAGCAATTGACAGAAGAGCAACAACAAAGCAGTATCATTTTCAGGGAAAGAAAATACTGCACTGTATTTTAAATGTTAGAAAGACACTGAACTCACTTCACTCAAATTGACCTTTTCTACTGAATAAAAGCATAGCAACATCATTGCTTGAAAATACTTAAACAAGACCAAATCCAGTGTGTGCACTGTCTATGGCAGCAACAAGTGCTTCCTCAAAGTCTTTGTAGGTGTTGTAATGAGCTGGCAGCTTCAGTGTTTCAAAGCATGTGGAGGATGATGGGAAGGTTCCCCCGGAAAACTCCACTTTGAGTTCTGGAGGGAGCATTTCCTAGCCGACCCAGAATTTCAGCAACTGGGCCAGTGTATCTGATAAAGCTAAAAAGTCATAAAGTGGATTAAGAACACAGTTAGTGCACTGTTACTGTTCAAATCCCGATGCATTTCATATATTCTACAGTGTTAAGTGAGATGTTTATGGGACATAGAGACATTGGTAAACATACAATTGCAAAATAAGATAGCTATACCTGTTTCAATGAACATCCGTAGAAAACCAGTGATGCGGCACTTGCACTCAATGTCAAGTTCTTCATCATCATCACTGTCCTCCACAGGCCATGTGATTTTGTCTAGAAACATCTGAAAAAAAAAAAAGTTTAAAAAGTATTTTGGTGTCTAGGATAATTTATAATTCAGCACTGATGAAAAGGAATATAGATTACAGTCTTGGTAATTGAGAAAATATCCAGCTCAGCAAATTAGACAATAAGATTCGCACACACATTTATTAATATTTAAAGTATTGTTAATAAGTTGGATGTACTAAATCACCTGGGGTACAAACTGCATTCCTGCCATTTTCGGAAAAAGAAGTGGGACAACATCCGGCCTAGATGTCAGCAGGGGCCATAGAATCACATCTTTCAATCCCTTTCTCAACTGTTTAATTTGGCGCATGGTCCTCCCGATGACCTACAAGAAAGGCCAAACCCATATTACTGACCAAATATTAAAATTCTACAAAAGTCAGCACAGTAGAAAGTGTTTATAAAACTCTAATGCAGTGCTTAAGATGTATTTTTCCCCAATTATATCCTTTCATATTGCAACACCAAACCACTCCCTGCCCAGATTACAAGTTAAAGAGTGTTTAGGTTCTGTAATAATCCTGCCTGCAGTTCCAATTAGTTTGTGACTGAAATACAGATGTGCAAAAGAAATGCAGACGTGATAGAATTGCTTAGCTTGAAACATAATTGATGGATAAATGGGGGATGAGTTCAATTTCAGAAGGAAAATTCACAAAATCAGCAGGAGAAACTCACCGCGTGTACTAGAAGTTTGTTATGTAGCCACCTCTGATTCGTTTTAGTGACTGCTGGGAGATCCCAAGACAGGGACAGGTCTGACACTGTGTCCTTCTGTTCCTGAGTAAGTTCTTCAAGTTCAAGCTAGAATTTAGATCATAAAAAGTATTACACCTGTCCAGGAATTTTGCAAGGCAAAGGTTTTTTTGTTTCTGTGTTACATACCATTGTTATAATACCCCTGATGTGCAGATCAGGACAGTCCTCGACAACAATTGTTGCCATTTCAGGGTCCCCATTGAACAGTACATGAATAACAGCAGGACTTAATCCGGTGACATGGGGGCCATCATGCAAAAAGGAGTGGGCTATCATCCTTCCTGTAACCCGGAAGAGGTTGCTCTCAATAAGCACCTCTGATGCAGCTGGAACGAGATGGTCAGGTTCACCTTCAAATAGCAGAGTTTGGCCCACTCCTCCTGTAAGTACCAACAGAGCAGGGGTTAAAATCAAACAATTAACTTTTAAAATGCATGACATTAACCTGAATAGTAGCACATTTACCAAGATTCATTCTGAATCCAAACTGGAGTTTGGATATTGTTGTTGTCAGAAAGTACCGCATCACTCCCTGTCCAACAACAGCGTCACCTAAAAAAAAAAAAAAAGGAAGGAAGGACAAACACATTAACTGTTATGCATACAGCATAAACAGCCAATGCAGATTATCATACTGTATAATGATTAATATCAGCCAAATTACCTGATGGGACCAGTAAACCACTAATACCATTCCATATAAGACATATAATTGATATTAATGTAACAGGATATATTTATATTATGAACTCTATTCTACTAACCATCAAGGGTACAATGAAGTGGACATGCCCATTCCTGTTACTGTTTATAGAATGAGAGAAGTGCCCGTTCCCTGTCCAACTTATTTGCTGTTTTAAGTCAACCAAGCTTCACTTAGATGTGGAGTCTGTGTCAATGTGTTCTGTTGAACTGTATGAGGAAGTGTTTCTAAGGTTCTATAAAACAGCAGTGATAATGGCATGTCTTATAGTCGTTATTTATTATGGTTAAAAGGTGTTATTCTTCTATTGACTGAGTTCTAAATATGCACAATGTTATAGCATTCCTACTGTGATGACACAAACCATTGTCAAGTTCTTTAAGATCAATCTTCTCACTTTCAATCACTACTGGTTGTACTTCACTCTCTACAGATGTTTTAGGCCTAACTGGAATGCTGTCCCTGTCAGTGGGTGGCTCTCTATCATTTTCCTCACCATGGTCTCCCTCTCCTTCTCTATGTGTTTCCTGCATGGGGGTCCTTGAAGTTCAGAAAATTTTATAGTCATTTCCTCTCATCTGTGTGCACAAAAACTAAAAAGAAATTTCTTATTGAAAAATGAATATGTAATTCTTATATATCTTTAACAAGTGCATACCCATCACAGTTAGCTCGGTGCAGTTTCATTTCAGAGAAGGGAACCTCCTTCTGACAAGTGATACATGAGATGGCTGGACCAGAGGCATGTCCCGAGCTTTCCTAAGAACAACAAATCTGTTAAGTATTGATTAAAACTCCACAGTGCAATTTATTTTAACTATGTATCAAATGGTAACAGTGTAAATTTCCATACTGAATCAATAGGTAGGTCCTGTTGAAGTGGGCGTATGTAAATTGTAGCCTGTCCAATTGTTGTAGATGGATCTTTTAGATAGGCAAGGGTGTATCCTGTGCTGGGACATTGAAGAAGTCCAAGATTTCGACTGCGAGTAGATCCTGCAATTTTTAGAAACTCAAAGCCTCCCCCTTCTTGCAGCTTTGGAAACACCTCCATCAGCTTATTTGTTACAACCATGGGATCGTTGTCATTTCCTGTAAATATACATAATGCACATTAACTCAAACACCAAAAGCTAAGCTGTTATAACAAATACACACCAAGAAAATCACGTAATTAAAGTATGAGTCTAATATGTAAAATAGGTGAACACAAATGGCAATAAAATGAAATTAAAAATACAACTCCTACTAATGTCAGGACTCAGTGTTTTGCCAAATTTCTTGTTTCAGACCCACCTGAAAAGATCACCCTTTGTTCTCCAAGTCCTGAAACAAGAAGGTCTACTTTAAGCTGAATGCTTGGAACTTTATCAGCCTTGTTGTCAGCCAAACAACAGAAAGTGTGTGTAGCTTCTTCGGATGACTTGGCTCCGTGCTGGCCATCTCCTGGCACCGCTGCCGCTGTTGTTGTACGGAGCAAAGAGCCTTGCTACTTCGGCTGAAACACAGAGAAAACGTTACAGCTCCCATGATCACCACTCAGCTAAAACATCCTTAAGTCCCTGCTTAGAGTAATTTCAACGAATGTCACTGATAAATGTAATAAAGAAAGCAAACAACAACTGAAAAGAAATAACTAATAATACTCCAACTTAAGGGCTGCTGACATGCTAACACCATTCTGCCGACTAGCTAGCTTCGTTTAGAAGCACATCTGACTATCCTTACCTATCTTGAACAGGTGTACGTGGTGTAGCGACCAAGGGGCAACCTCCGGTCTCGAAAAATGAAGCCTATGTGGAAGTACAAAAAACTGCAGTTCCTCGAGGTTCTGCTTGAGGCTGGCTGCAGAAGCGTCGGAAGTGCCATAAGCCCACAGCCAAAAAAGCCTGTTTTTACCCCAGAATTAACATGTTTACAGCCTGGTTCAAAAAACGAGATATATCTGATAAGTTGACGGCCCCTTCTCCTCACGCCTCACACTGTGGGTTCAGTAACATAAACTGAACTCAACTGAACCTAATGTGCTGTGTAGGTTATAGAGGATGACATTAAAGTTACATGGTTGATGTAGTGTCTTAAGATTTGAGCAAACTGTTAACAAATTTAAAAGAAAATCACTTTGTAAGAGCATCTGTAACCATTAAGAACTATATTAATAACCATATTAATTTTTACTGAACTCATACACAGAATATAGCTGTAGAAATATAAAATATAAATAACATATGGAATGAAAATAAGATATAAAGCACATAGATATAAAGTATAAGAAATAGTTTGAAGAATACAGCCATGTACTGAGCTCATGTTAATAATAAATGAGTTACTGTATGTTCTGTACTAAAGCACAGAGAGTTGGGACCTGTTAATGATTGAAATAATTCAGGTTATATTTGTTTCATGTTAAGATGAAGTGCTATCCACAATTAATTGCTTAATTTTTCCTCACAAAATCGGAGACAATTTCATGTGGAATATCATTGTGCAAGTGAGTGAGAGAGCTGAAAATAGCATGATTACAATAAGGTTTATCTTCTTAACTTTGAATAGATGTTGATTACCTGAATACTGTACCTTTGTTGTCTGGGTAGTACACTGTTGAATTTATAAATGTACTCTTACACACAGATGAATACAGAAAAATAGATGAGAACAAACAAAATGATTTAATGAAAAACTGATATTTTCTCTCTTTCTTTGTCATCCTGAAGACCCCTCACTAAAAGTCCATGTTCTCCTGGATCCATGTCACATGCTCGAGCTTCTTCAGAATGACTTTTCAACAGTCAAAGTTCTGCTGAGAGAAGATGGCCAGCAGATAAGACAGCAGTACATGAAGGAGCTCCACAGGCTTCAGGAGAAGGAGGAGGGTTTGCACTTTGGAAGACTGTATTCATGCTTCAGCTGTTCAAATAAAACTAGATCTCCTCCAAACAACTTGCAATCAAACTATTTTCTTCCCATTTTAAAACCCTTTGTCCAGTTTAGATGGGAGAAGTTGATATTATGTGATGCTGATCTGGGAAGACTACATTTCTAAATCATTTTTAACTGTGTTTTTATTCACAAGTTATTGATCTTATTTACTCTCCATGTATCTTGATTTAAGAATGGGGCTGTGTTTAAGGGCATATTTTTGCAATGACTCTGTTCCATCCCATTTTCAGAAATGAACTACATTAGTATTTATCAAAAGAATAAGAAGTTGTGTAAAAGTAGACTTCCTTCCCTTAGCTATTGAGTTGAGCATTAATGCACATTTTAGTCTTGTCATTTCAAATCTGAAATGTATACTCATAAGTAGACATAAAGGAGTGCATTTATATAGAAATATTTATTTATTCTGAAAAACAACATTAAAAAAAGTCTGTTTTTACAGCAGAGATGAACATGTTTACAGCTTGGTACAAAACAAACAAATAGGTGTGATTAGTTCATGTCTCGATGGACACACACTGTACAGGGGGGGTGAATGTTTTGATGACTCATCAGTTTTGATTTCATGAAGGATAAGAGTTATTCACAATAAGGCGTGTAGCTGACCAGCTTGACAGGTGGGTGCGGTGTAACGGTTTGTCAAGAGGCTTAAAACCCGTCTCAGCTCCAGCTCTCAGCCTGTGGGTGACATCACTCAGGCCATCCGGGGGAGACCTCCCTCACAGCGAGCTGTTGAAGAGAAGCAACTGAAGTCCACCCCAGAAGAACCAACAAATGTAGATCTTGTTGAAGCTCAGGTTTCTTCCTCCATGACTTCACAGGATTCTATAGAAAACAAATGTCTTATAATAAATACTAAATCATTATTTTTCAATTGTCATGTTTACCCACATTGCTGTTGACATCAGTAAATATAAGACACAGACATTCCTCTTTTTGTCAGAACAGTAACATGAACTGTATGCTTTGTAATATTGATTTCTTCTGGATGTCTCATATTTATTTACAGTTTATGGATAAAACTTTGCTAATGTATTTCTCTGCTAACACTGACAAAGTCTAACTGCTCTGACAAATAACTAATAACCATAGTTGTATATTTAAAAAAGTGTAGTTTTAAGACTTTAATTAAATATTTGGGTTGAATATAATTCGTTTTAACTGTGTTGTAGAAAAGTTAAATGTTAACTTACTGTTTGTAGAGTTTTCTCAGGACGAGCAGGAATAGGGGATGATAGCAGCCTAGCCGTTAGCTATGCTGTGAAGTGGACCGCTAACGTCGAGCTGAATGGGCGGAGTTAAGTCCCGCCGGTCCCGCCTTACTGCTGTTGCTAGGTTGATCCGAAGTTAGGTTGAGACTGCAAATCCAAGATGGATGCGGCCGTCGATTGGACTCATTTTCTGGCCATGTAACAGACGGGTCAGGGTTCGTCCAGTAATATTTACAGTCTATGGTAGCGACAGGTATCTGCTGTACCTGTGCTGCCGGTGGAGTTCTCCTCAGAGCTTCTTCAATCAAATTAGCTGCTTCTCTTAGCAGCTCCGGAGAGGTTTTGGACATCTTGCACCTAACACTTTGCACCAATGGTGAGGTGTACGGGTAAGGTGTTTGATCCGTCTTCCCTTGTATCATCAGCAACAATTTTTTCGGCGACAAATGAAGAGCGTACCGAAATGAATATACGGATGAACACTGCCACCTAATGTATCGGAGTGCATTCACTGCTTCAATCCATTATCTGGGATCGATCTGTCATGACTTGCTTTGCTGAGTCACCATTCAGATGTTAGAAACTTTGACGAACAGCAGTGACAGATAAAATTATTTCATGATGCACTGCTGGTGTAGGGACCATGAAATGATAAAGTAAATAGCAAAATGATTAAATAAATAGTAAAATAATTAAATGTGGTTTTACATTAAATGAATTAACATTTTAAATAATTAATTAAACATTTAATTAATTAATTATGTGTTTCATAAATTAGTTATTTATATATTACCAATTTTAAATAATTAATGACACAATTAAATACTTATTTAATTATTTAATAAGACATGCATTTAATTAATTAAATAATTATATATTTATTTATATATTTGTTGATTTATTTCCAATAATAATTGATGACACATTTAATGATTTAATTAATTATATATTTATATATTTCATTTTGGCACTTTTAGTCCTCCATAAATTTTAGCGGTGGACAGTTTTATAACTTTATATAAATATGTAAAAAATCACATTCCTGCAGAGCTCCGGCTACACACGTCCTACATCTTCCGCGTCCACCGGAAGTCCCCATTTAGAGAGCACACACAGTGAGAAGAAGGATCTTGAATTCTATTCTAGATTTTAAAGGGAGCCAGTGCAGAGATGCCAACACAGGAGTAATGTGGTCCCTTTTCCTAGTTCTAGTCAGTACATGAGCTGCAGCGTTCTGGACTAGTTGAAGAGTCTTTAGAGACTTACCAGAGCACCCTGATAAAAGAGAATTACGATAATCCAACCTGGAGGTAACAAATGTGTGAACTAGTTTTTCTGCAACAATACACACTAGAACAGAGGGACACAAGGATACAAAATACAAATTAAGACATGAAACACTCCAAAGACTAAATTAGAAACCACACAAGGGAAACAGACACCAGGGAAGAATAAAAACTAAAACAAATAAAGAAATTTAAACTCTGACATACAAAACTAAAACATGCCAATCCATGACACCTAGATTCCTAACAGTGGTGCTAGAGGCCAGGCTGATGCCATTTAGGACAGTCATATCATTAAATAAAGTCTATCTGAGGTTTTTAGGGCCTAGCACAATAACTTCAGTCTTGTCTGAGTTCAGTAGCAAAATAATTCTGGTCATCCAGGTCCTAATGTCCTTAAGGCACGTTTCTAGTTTACATAACTGATTGGTGCCATCTGGCTTCATTGATACGTAAAGCTGAGTATCATCTGCATAACAATGAAACTGTATGGAGTGTTTCCTCATAATATTACCCAGAGGAAGCATATATGATGTAAAGAGAATCGGTCCAAGCACGGAACCTTGTGGCACTCCATGGCTAACTTTGGTGTGCATAGAGGACTTATCATTAACATGTACAAACTGAGATCGATCTGAT